CATGGGACAGAGAGGAAACGTGGTACAGACAGAGTCAGAGGCACCCAGCCCCACAGCCACCCTCCCTGAGCACCCAAGCTTGCCCACCAAGGCCCTCACCCCTTCCCACCTCAGCTGCCCTGTAGGCACAGCCCACCCCCACCAGCCTCAAACCTCAATAGCATCTTTGAACTCTTCATCAGGCTCTGCCTCCTCCGCCTCCTCCACACTGCCAGGGGTAAGGTCCTGCAAGAGATTCACAGAGCTAGTCCTGCTGTACCCCAACCTCTGTCCAAAGGTGGGCCCACACTTCTGCAGCAGGTTCCATGACAAAGGACCAGGCCCCTGGCAGCCCCACAAGAAAACGTGAGTCCCAGAAGGTGCGGTGAGCCCCTGCCTCCCCAGACTGCATCCTTACATGCAGCAAAAGGACTGAGCCAAGCCCCCAGCACAGCAGGGCAGCCCCCCAGTAACTCAGGAGGGGCTCACAGGCTTCCAGCAAAGCTGGCAGCTGGAAGGAGTTTGTGGGTAGAGGGACACAGGCACAGTCAGATCAAAGGGCTGACCCCACAGCTCCCACCCCAACAACTGCTAGCCCTGCCCCTATCTCACCTCTGTGCTGGTGGGTGTGGGGGTCCGATCCGGGGGGGCAGCAGCTGGGAGGGGGTCAGCAGGCTCTGGAGTGCTCTCGAGGGGTTTGGTGCCCACACACTGCTCAATCGAGGCCTTGAGCTCCATTATCACTGGTAAGAGGGGAACGTGGCTGGAGTGGGGTGGCACTTCCCTTCTCCCAGCCCCACCACAAAACCGGCTGCAAGAGCCCATCTCCAGGGCTCAGGGTGGGACACTGGCACATATGACCTTCACCCATCAGGTACCCTGAGCCCTCCTCTGCTCACACATCAAAGCTAGGGCAGCAAGGAACCCCCCACCACCTGCCCCAGCTCAGGATAGGGAACAGCAGGGGCCTTAGTCACAGCTCAGCCATACAGATCTCATCCAACTCTCCTCCAGGACGTGCCACAGAACAGGGAGCACCTCCAGCTCTTCTCCTCCCCTCTGACGGCACGTTTTCAAGCCTGTGTCATACATTGCCACAGGCACCAAGAGTATTTCGAGTCCTGCAAAGCAGGGTCAGGGACTGAGAGGGGTGGTGATGCTCACGCGCAGGCTGCGTTGCCAGGCCCCAGTTTGCCACAGCACAAAGGAGAGCAGGAAACAGCACCCACGCCAGGACACACATCAGGAGAGGCTCTCGTCTCTCACAGCCAGACCCCAGGACCCCACCACCCAACCTGGGCTGCTGAGCACCATCTCTAGGACATCATTGCCCTCAGGGGGGTTCAAGTCCCATGGCAGAGCCCAAGACAGGACACCAGGCTCACATGAGGGTGCTGGGAGAGGTCCAGGGCAGGATTCCTGGCTTCAGAGGGCCTTTCCCCAACCCACCCACAGAGACCACTTCCAGGGAGGTCTCTTACCTTGGTAGAACTGGGTGTTTCCCAGGAATAGGGTGCTGTTGAGAATGGCCAGGACCCAGCAGAGGGGCAGCACGTAAAGGACACAGACAGACCCCAGCAGTGCCCCATAAAACCTGGCAAGGAGTAGCAGGACACTGCAGTCAAGACAGAGCAACTCATACCACAGTACAAGCCCCCTTCCTTCATCTGGTCCTCCACCTGCTCTCTCCAAGTACCAAATACATCAAACGCAGCTCCACACGCCTGGCTGGGCCCCCCTCCCCACTGAGCCTGCTGCTGGATGCCTGACCCGGTAATACTCACTGGGAAGAGACAGTGGGGTTCTCCCAGTACAGTACACGGTACGCTGCCTCGCAGCTGCAGCACATCCCGCTCAGGAACCCCTCCAGCTGGATCAGGCTGCAAATGAGACCTCACAGTCACGAAAAGACCCCACAAACACACACCCTGGCTCCCTGACACTCATACGCTTTACGGTGGCCAGGCTAGCATGAACCCAGGCCCTCCACAGCCA